TCCCTCTCTCTCTCTCTCTCTCCTCTCTCTCTCTCTCTCTCTCTCTCTCTCTCTCTCCTCTCTCTTCTCTCTCTATCTCTCTCTCTCTCTCTCTCTCTCTCTCTCTTCTCTCTCTCTCCTCTCTCTCTCTTCTCTCTCTCTCTCTCTCTCTCTCTCTCTCCTCTATCTCTCTCTCTCTCTCTCTCTCTCTTCTCTCTCTCTCTCTCTCTCTCTCTCTCTCTCTCTCTCTCTCTCTCTCTCTCTCTCTCTCTCTCTCTCTCTCTCTCTCTCTCTCTCTCTCTCTCTCTCTCTCTCTCTCTCTCTCTCTTCTCTCTCTCTCTCTCTCTCTCTCCTCTCCTCTCTCTCTCTCCATTCTTCGTTTACCTGGCGACGGTCGTCCGCTATCATGGCCAGTGTCATTATGCTGTTGACGGCTGTCACTGTCGTAGAAAAACGTATCTGGCATCCTGACAACGAAAAAAAAAGCAGAAAATCTTGGGAAATAGGCGGATTAAAAGAAAAATGGGCAAAGTTGTAATTTAAATTCGTTGTTACTTCGAATATTTATCGTTAGGATGCAATGCCATGCAATACGTAATATCAAAAAGGTGCAGCATAAGCGTTCATATTCCGACAGACTGAATACAAAACGTGGTGTAGAAAATGGCGAAGGCATCAATAAATTTATTCTGATTCACATCAATGAGCCTATATCGTATATCTATCGTATATCGCACAGGATTGCCTGGGAACAGATGCAATCTGAATATCTTTGACACCATGTGGCTAATATGCGCTTTGGAAAATAATGCTCGAAAATAGCTGCATATTTTAAACGATGAGCTACTTCTTCACATAGTATTGAACCTTGATTTTCATCTTAAAATAAACATTGATGCTTTGCAGAAGCGGTACGTAATCCAAACACATTATTGAAGTCCGGTAAGCAACTGGCACTGAAACCGTTTTCTATGGTACGACCCGCATCCATTCTGGTTGACAGATGGCAGGCTTTGGTTCGGACCCGACTACCAATACTCTTAGTCTTACGGCACGAAAGCTGGCTTTGAACCTTGCACAAACCCTGCTCTTATTCGAGTTCAAATGCATTTTGAACATGGGGGCACTGCGTTACCGTGCTCGAATGCATGCTAATGCGAGTAGTATCTGTCACTTTGTCATGGTGGATTTGAGTCTCAGTCTAAAGCGTTTCACATCCTCATTTAGATCCTTAACTTAGTTCAGTGGGCATAGGTACGTACTGTTGTGCTTCGTTACCTTACCTTGTTAGCATGTGGTTACGTTAGGTCAAGTGCAGTATTTTGACTGAAAACCCTGTTTCAAAAACAGCCTCATTAGATTTAAGGCTCCGACTTTCCAACTTCTAGGTGAAAAGAGAAATAACGGATATGACGCATTGGCCCACTAAATTAACCGCGCTCAAACTTTCCGACTGCATTGTCAGAGTTTGAAATTAAATTGCGCTCGCCATGCCGACTATTTTCCAAGCTTGCGTTTAAGAGATCTAAAATTAACCAACTTTTAAATGATTTAGTACGTTTCGGAACATGCTTTTTCAGCTATATTTTTTCCACGTTCACTGCTGTCATTAACCCGCGCCCTGCTGGGGGGGGGGTGTTTGAACACCCCCCTTGTGGTTTTTCGCGAATATCTCCAAAACGGCGGCGCGGAGCGCCGCCGTTTTTGGTACACCTTATCATACATCAATTCTACACATGTTGTAAAAATTTCAGACCAAGGTCATTCAAGGTCAGGTCACCAGGTCACTTGAAGTGACCTCACCTCATAAAAACTTTCAATGTCTGTCATAGCTACACCGAGTGACCGATCGCTTTGAAACTTTCAGCGATTGCTAAGGGCAATAGCATGTACAAAATGTATATCTCAGAATTTTGATATCGATGACCTAAGGTCAGGTCAATTTTGCGACCTCGCCATTATAAGTCAATGGGAGAAAATTGAAATGCGCCTCTTTTGGATGCAAGACATTATAAACACTCCCAAACACCGAATTACAAGTGTTTTAGACACACTGAACATGAAAATGGTGTCCGTGACCCTTGTTTATGCCCTGAGGTCATCTTAGGTCACGAATGGTATCTAACAGTTTTTCGCAAATAACTTTTGATAGAGGCATGCTAGAGCGATGAAAACGCCTTAGATGTGTTCAGCTCGACGGTACGGATCGACTGATATGCAACATGACCCTTTCCGGTCAGGTCATGACCTTGACCTGAGGTCAAATTTTCAAGTTGACCTTTCAAGGTCAAGTTATAGTTCATTCGATGCGTCTGGACGAGAGGAACACGATGCCGGTAAAAGTAAGCTCGTACAAGGCTTGGGTCAAAAGTTATTGCAGAAAAACTGTTTTCGAAAAAATCGGCTATTTTTGCAGTTTTTGCCCCCTGCAGGCAAAACCGTTGACGTTAGGTCAAATCTGAGAGAATTACTCAGAAAGGGCGTTAACCCGCGCCCTGCTGGGGGGGGGGTGTTTGAACACCCCCCCTTGTGGTTTTTCGCGAATATCTCAAAAACGGCGGCGCGGAGCGCCGCCGTTTTTGGTACACCTTATCATACATCAATTCTACACATTTTGTGAAAATTTCAGACCAAGGTCATTCAAGGTCAGGTCACCATGTCACTTGAAGTGACCTCACCTCATAAAAAGTTTCAATGTCTGTCATAGCTACACCGAGTGACCGATCGCTTTGAAACTTTCAGCGATTGCTAAGAGCAATAGCATGTACAAAATGTATATCTCAGAATTTTGATATCGATGACCTAAGGTCAGATCAATTTTGCGACCTCCCCATTATAAGTCAATGGGAGAAAATTGAAATGCGCCTCCTTTGGACGAAAGACATTATAAACACTCCCAAACACTGAATTACAAGTGGTTTAGACACACTGAACATGAAAATGGTGTCCGTGACCCCTGTTTATGCCCTGAGGTCATCTTAGGTCACGAATGGTATCTAACAGTTTTTCGCAAATAACTTTTGATAGAGGCATGCTAGAGCGATGAAAACGCCTTAGATGTGTTCAGCTCGACGATACGGATCGACTGATATGCAACATGACCCTTTCCGGTCAGGTCATGACCTTGACCTGAGGTCAAATTTTCAAGTTGACCTTTCAAGGTCAAGTTATAGTTCATTCGATGCGTCTTGACGAGAGGAACACGATGCCGGTAAAAGTAAGCTCGTACAATGCTTGGGTCAAAAGTTATTGCAGAAAAACTGTTTCCGAAAAAATCGTCTATTTTTGCAGTTTTTGCCCCCTGCAGGCAAAACCGTTGACGTTAGGTCAAATCTGAGAGAATTACTCAGAAAGGGCGTTAATAGGGCTATCGAATGCGCTTTTCCGCGGCGCTGTAGCTCTATTGGTTCCCGAGTTATGCGTTGGCTTCTTGGAAATTTTCGACATTCGACCTGGAAATCGGCGAAATTTTGCCTTCAATGACCTCTGGTGACCTGACCTTTGACCTGACCAAAAAATTGACCGGAGTGATTTCCTCATTATTTTTGACGCTCTTTCGAACGCCGCCTTCCGCGTATCGCTACGTGGCCCAGGAGCCGAGTTAGAAGGGGGGGTGTTCAAACACCCCCCCCCCAGCAGGGCGTGGAAATCCAGGACCCCCAGCCGGGCGCGGGTTAATAGGGCTATCGAATGCGCTTTTCCGCGGCGCTGTAGCTCTATTGGTTCCCGAGCTATGCGTTGGCTTCTTAGAAATTTTCGACATTCGACCTGGAAATCGGCGAAATTTTGCCTTCAATGACCTCTGGTGACCTGACCTTTGACCTGACCAAAAAATTGACCGAAGTGATTTCGTCATTATTTTTGACGCTCTTTCGAACGCCGCCTTCCGCGTATCGCTACGTGGCCCAGGAGCCGAGTTACAAGGGGGGGGTGTTCAAACACCCCCCCCCCCCAGCAGGGCGTGGAAATCCAGGACCCCCAGCCGGGCGCGGGTTAACACAACTGAACAAAACATGAAATAAATGACAACATTTAAGTTTTTGTTCAAAATATCTATCAACATCTACCTTATTGGATCACATAGTTCATACGAATGCTTAGTAACATGCATATCACAACATTTAATGATGCACACGTACGAGTATACAAGCTTTCCAGGGTTAGTTGTGGGTATTCATTATTCAATCTCTAGCTTTAAGCTAGAGCTCTGCTGGAGGGGGAGGGGTTGCTTTGATACCTTGATTTTCTGCCGAACTTCGTAACAGAAGCCGTGGGGAGAAGGAAAAACGGAGAACGAAAGGTCTTAAGTGTTTCTCACCACCTCTGTGTTTCTCAGGAAAGCAAAGAGTTGGTCTTTCATCAACACAGAACATCTCACCAAGAAGGGAAAGAGGCGGTCTTTTATCTGCACAGAAACATCTCATCACGGAGGATTGAGGAAAAGAGGCGACCTCTCACTAATGCACACCGTTTCTCACACATGATGTCTCCTCACACTCATACTGGCGAATACTGTTTTATATACTGTTTTACTGAATACTGTCATACTGTTTTACTCTTCCCTCCAACAGGCTATGGCGCCCATTTACATCAAATTTCCTGCTTCTCCTCGTCCTCCTAAACCTCCCCACTGAGCTAGCAGCAATGAGTGCCCACTGCACGTAGCAGTGAGAAGCCTAGCCCACCCCACCCCTGGTGACACAGCCATTGACGGCAGCCCGGGGGGATCTGGCAGCACCGGGGAGCCCATGACTCACCTATGACGCCCAGCACTGGACCGCCGAAGACAGAGTTGATGATTATGGTGAAGGACTTGAGCACCATGACGAAGTCACTTATGGCCAGATTGAGCAGAAGAAGATTCGATGGCTTCCTCAGTTTGCGGTTTCTGTAGGTATACATAGGCGTACGATAAAATTGTGTAGTGATCTCTAGTTTCCCTTCGAAATGTATTTATTTGTAATGAATTGAACGTATCATGGTGAAGAACAAGGACACTCTTAACCCTATTCCTGGCGGGGGGGGCCTCAGGAGCCCCCCCCCCCTGAGGTTTTTTGGTTATATCTCCCAAACGCGTTGAGCTAGGAAGCTCAAATTTTCTGACTTTTCCTAAAAGGCTTCTACGCAACATGTCTGAAAATTTTGAGTTGATCTGACCTCAGGTCAGGTCACCAGAGGCGGTTTGGTGACGCTACCTCAGAAAAGTTTGCAATCACGCCAGAGCTAGAGTTTTTGACCGATCAATTTCTTCTCTTCAGGGTTTAGTTAGGGTACCAGTATGTGCAATTTGTATATCTCGGAATTTTGATATCGGTGACCTAAGGTCAGGTCAATTTCGCGACCTCCCCATTATAAGTCAATGGGGGAAAAATCAACTCCCTGTTTTTACCACTAAAACGGGTCGGAATGGCCCCATATACCATACATGACTTCATATACGATCAAACTTCACTACCTTGAGGTCTGTTTTGCTGTTGGGCAGCTGTGAGGTCATGTGACGTCATCAAAGGTCACCAAAGGTTTTTGGCCAATAACTCCGTACAGGAACAAGATACAGACGCGTGGATGGTCTCATTGTGTTCAGCTCGTCAAGACGCATCGAATGATATACATGATGACCTCGAGGTCACGTGACCTGAGGTCAACCTTTGACCTTGACCTTTCGAGGTCAACATATATATCATTCGATGCGGATTGACGAGAGGATCACGATGATGCCCTTAGTTTGTTCCTATCTTGACTAATTCGAAAGTTATTCGAGAAAAACTCTCTCCATATCTAGTGCCGCCATTTTGACTTTTTCGACCCCTGTGACGTCATCTTTGACCTGACCTGAAAATGACCTTAGTAAAAATTGTAGATCTTGGCCGTGCGTATCCGATGCCGTTTACCGCTTGTCGCTATCTTGCTCCGTTCTCGAGATCTCAGGGGGGGGGGGCCGAATCGGCCCCCCCCCCCCCGCCAGTTTCTTGTCCCGGCGGAGCCCGCCAGGAATAGGGTTAAGTGCATCAGCGCTTCTACCCGGATCAACCATTGAAATAAAGTTAGCGTGAAGCTATCTTCAATATTGGTCTTAACAATAAGGGTTATTGTTATGTTTTTAATCAAATTGTTTTAACAATATAAAAGATTTATTGTTCTAATACTCTGGGAATATTTTTTTTCAATTTATTTGCTTATTCATTCTTTTCGGAATGCTTCTGATCATGTGTCATCGCCTAGACACCGATTGAAGCTAAATGGAACGGCACATGCCGGGCAGGCTCGAGGTTCTTTCAACACATGCTAGGATATTCTTTATACGCTCGGTGCTGCGTTAGGGGAGTGAACGCCTTGATATGATCGTCTCCGGAAACATAAGTAAAAAGAACCTCACAGAGTTTAATTAATAATATCCCCTTGATGATTGGTTCCGCTAAGAAATAGATGAAACACGTCTGCCTGGTCGTGATTCAGGATACCTGCTATCAATGGGTATTTAATAATACCACTTCATTACATGTTTATAAATATTCTCAACAAATCACCTGGATGACATTCTATTGAGCATAATTGATGCGTGACATGTGAATTGAAAGACCTTCACCACTGATTGCCCACTCGCCAAGTAAGAAACGAGCCGGCGATCCAGCTTCCTCACCTGATGAAGACGACGATGACGAAGAGATTGCCGGAGCATCCCACCAGCATCATGAACAAGTGGAAGCCAGCGATGACCAGATGATGACTGTAGGGTGGCGCGTCGAAAGAGGCCCACACCGGCTGAATATACTGCAGGTAGTTGTCCGAACACAGGCCTGAGAAATTAATTAATTATCAAAAGATGAGGTAATGCCTCAAATGAGGTCGTGTTGTTTTCATACAATCTTAAATACATATGTGTGAAAACGTGTTGCAATATTTCGGACAGTGATTAAAGCTTGATGAGGCTAGGCGCCACATGAAGATAAGCAATATACGTAACGTAATCGTGGCTAATAGCCACTTGATTATCCAGGATGTTAACCACCACTCAGGGCTAGTTCCAACGAGGGATGAGTGTTTGGCGCCACCAAAATACGGCGAAAGACATTAACACTCATCCTAGACTAGACCTAATACGCCCAGCTAATCCCCAAATCCTAGGAAAGGACATTATGGCAGGTCCCCTGGGTCCCCTGCATAAGCCAACTCAGCTACATGACTTTCACACTACCATAGTCAGATTTTTAAGCCTGTCGGATCACTTGCAGAGACATATACGGCACGGGACGAACTATGAATGAATAGAAAGTCAAAAAGTGAAATAAAGATTAAGATGATATTTTTAACTCGCTATTGTTATTAAAGGTATTGGGGCTTCACAGGCGTTTTCATGCCTTTAAAGCGATTGGACAGGTTGAAAATGACTAAAATCACTGATCGGTGATGTCAAATCAAAGTACGTACCGAGTCGCTTCCATCCTTGCACGTCGTAGCCGTGGTCCAGCAACAGCGACGATATGTTGGTTTCACTCGGCAGCGACAGCGAAGGACCGCCGCACACGTTCGTTTCCTCAATCATAACAGCTTCGTCGGACGTCGAGGAAGATGGCGACGGCGAGGTCATGACGATGATTGTCGCCAGCTATAAGCTCTTGATGTTTTTCCGGGACTCGTTGTTTTCCTTGACTGGTTCCTTGATTCCGCGGACCCGCTACTGAAGCTGATCTACCGGTGTAGATAGCAGAACTATCTACACCATATTTACCGGTGGAAAAAGTAATTGCTGACCAAATAATATAGCACTTGAAAGCTAAGTTTTTACATTTTTCAAGTCACTGATTAGTATTTTCAGCAGTAAATGACATTTTGAGACTATCGTTTTGTCAAAAAATAATCGCAGCCGTCTGTTTTTTATTGGTGAAACTGGCCACAGCTCTTGAATGTTTTTAGAAGCTGGTTCCTTACGTTCTCTGGAACAATTCCAGGCCGGCTCCTGATTCTCCTGGTCGTGTTCCTGGATATACTCTCTATACTGTTCCCTTTTGTGCTCAACGTCTGCTCCTCAGTACATTGCTGTCTCCTCCTTTTGTACTTTTTAGTAGCAATTATTTTCGCCCATGACCTCCCTCGTGCTCCTATCTTTCACACTTCAACACTGCTGTAGAGATCTTATCTTTCTATGGTGTTGTTACTCTTATGTTACTCTTGTGACAAGCATTCTCAGCCTGCTCATGCAGTGCTGTCGCCGTTCAATTGTTTCCTGACCTCACGATAGGTCTCTGTAGCGCTTCTTTTATATTTTTTTCGCTCTTTGCTACGCATTCGTTGGTTGTTGATTATTGCTGAGTTCTTCCAGCTTGTGCGTTCCTCTTTCACTGTCGGCCAGATGTGGTGACGCAAGACGGGCACCTATAGACGGACAGATTTTTATCAAATTTTCGACATTGCTTACCGCCCATCTGATTGTGGCGGACAGCATGCCCAGACCTACAGGAGAGTCTCAAAGTTCGTTCATAAATTTCTCTTTTGGACAGTGTCGCGCAACCGGGTCTTCTTTTTTTTTTTATTCACACATATTGGTATCCTTATCTCAGTTATTAGCAGCTTGTCATTGGTAATGACCTTGGTAATGACATTGATAGTCGCATTGGTAATGAGCTGTCAGTCTGATATGTTGTGTCAGTGAAGGCACTTCTGGTTTGATTACGACACGCATTACTGATTTCTTGGAGAGGTAGGAATAGAGCAAGATTGCTTCACTAATAAGGTTGATTCACCAGAGAATTCGGGAGACGGGGCTAAGTCGCAGATTCAGTGGGCAATATAGAAGCAAAAGGTCAAGATATTCATGACGGAATTGACGACAAAAAAATGTTTTAAGTCATTTTTAAAAGTGAGCTTAAAGGGCATTTTGGATCATGTCAATAATCTGATGTGTTCATCGGAACATTACCAGCTTTTTTCGGTAAAGCAGGCTCGTAGGCTAACACACATCTTGGTGCACCGCTATCTTTCGATATAGCTTACTCATAAAAACGTCGCCAGAGGAGAGGACAGAGAGGTCAGCAAAATCTGAGTGATTGGGAAGCATCGCCGCCGCCATTGGCCATTTTGTGCATCTGTGATCAGCGGCACATGTGGGTAGGTGTATTATCCTTCACGTTTATTCCCTTATTGAGCCACAGTCTTCGGGAAAAGCGAAGCGTTTTATCTCCTTAAAAGGAATCCAAGAGGTAGTTTATTTTAGGAGCTCAGGTCAACAGACAACATTATGGGATAGGTCCCGTCAAATACTTGTTGTGTGGGGTTATTTTCAGCTAATTGAGACAATGAAGGAATGCTTTAGAAAGTATCGTCAAAACAATCGCCATGCATGAGTTAGCAAAATCTTTCTAAGCGGCCTTTTCCAGCGGAATGTCCGATGGTGAGCCGCTGATCATTAGTGAATATCGTTTTAAATCTTAACAATTATATATGGCTCTATGCTATCTGAAATAAAAGCATTTTGTGACAAAAGCATTTAAAAATAATTTTAAACATTTTATTTATTATATTTCACACAACTCCGCATTACAGTTCCGTTCGATGCATTCGATGTGGTGCATTCGTTGCATAACGTACTGAATCAATGCCACTTATCTCCGCATTGTAATGCAGAGGAAGACGCTTATTAGAACAAACTTGAATATATAGTTGTTTTGCGTACTATGTGCTATGTACTATGTATGTACGCAAGTCGCCCACTAACAGACGCTAATTAGTTACCGCTTGTTGTAAAGCGCCACAAAGGGAAATAGATTGACAGCCTGCTCATTTCTCGGCGCGGCAAGTTGGTCCTGTGCAGATAAGTTTCCTGGACTGCAGTGGTATGTCCACGTCCATCCATAGATAACTCTTGCCATAGAGAACAGTTTAACCAGCCGTGTCCCAAGCTGGCGATTTTATAACGAGAATGGAATAGACTACAAGCGTAATTTTTTTATTTACTGCATGTGACTCCGTCTTTAATTGGGTTGTGTGACTGTTAAAGGTATTGAATAAAATACAAATGCGTAACAGTGTGTAAGTTCAGACACGCCAGGTGACATCAATGCAAGACTAACCGCCATCTTCTCTTACTCCACTCTGCCTTTAAAACTATCTTATCATGATCAATAGCTAATGTGCCACCAGCCTGTGTCACGCAGGGGGTGTCACCAATGTGTTAACACCCGGTGACACACTATCGACACCTGACACAGCTCCCCGGAAGTAACTCGAGTACAACCGAAAACTGCTGCAGCCATCATGGCGAGCCAAGAGCGGATAACGAGCACCTGATATGCGCGTGTGAAAGACGCCACCTCCGTGTATCCTCTGTCTCGTTACTGATCTTATTAGGAGATGTGGGGGCAGATCATGGAAACGTCAAGCTATGTGAGAAGTGATACCAAGAGAAGTAGATACGTGCTGTTCTAAGCAACAGGAAGTCAGCGATGGAAGATTCAATGAAATTAATTCTGATCTCGTAGATCAATACAAGTAAAGTACTTCTAGCGATACTAGTTACATCTCCGTAGGGTACCTCTTTGGGAATGATAGGGGACTAAATGGCGACTGCCTTATAAGTAAGATCAAATTTCTTTCATGAGAGAACTCAAAATACACAGGGTTACCAAACTGCTTTCCCGGAGTTTCAATTTTTTTTTAATTAAAAAAAAATATTCAGATTAAAATTCAAAAAAAGTATTTCCTACAAGTTTTACTTTTCGAAAAAGACGGAAGGCATACTGATAGAATACATACCGATGACCTACTCTAGCAAGTTTTAGCCCGATATCCTCAAAAATAGCTAAGTTTATATGCTTTGTTGTCAATATTTCCCATTATAAAAAGTCAATTCCATTTTCAGTACGTTATCGAGTGTGGTTTACCTAAATGAATAGCACCATCGTGTTCCTGGGCTCAGACAGCATTTGATAGACACATTTTTGTTGAAAACTTTTACTTCATAATTTGAGTCTTTGACCTGTGAGTGACTTGAACTCAGCCATTTTCGGCTAAAAAATGTTCTGAACTGACACAGACGACACTGATTTCGGATTACATCTATGGCCAAAATGGACTATAGAACATGTACTACGTGACTGATCCATGACACAAAATTTATCTGACCTAGGATGACCTGGCCTTGACCTGAAAAAAAATCAGAGTAGAAGTTCGGTACCCTATGGGCATCTTAGGCATTAATTCTCGAATGTGTAAACCAAAAATGAGCCTGAGCAGACTTGTTAGCCGGCAGCTAGAGCCCAAATTGAGAATAAGCCAAAACGTTGATAACTTCTACTTTGACCTGAACTTTGACGTCATGGGTGACCTCCGAGGACAATAAAATAAGGTTTCGCTCGACAGTTCTCCCATGGCAATCAAACGTCGTTTCAATTTTGACAATCGGTGTAGTACTTCCGGAGCTAGAAGGGGGTATGAATACCCCCAGCCCCTCCGAGGGGCGCGTTATAGAAATACCTCAGTGGGGCGCTGGATAATGTGGACTGTTACCTAATGTGTCGGTTTTGAACAAGATATTGAAACATTGCCTAAACCGATGTACGAAAGAGATTCCAAAACCTCCCAAGCTATTTATAGATTGACCAGAATCGGACGGCTCTCTAAACAAGCTGACAGCTGCTGCATTCTACCACAAACATCTGTCCACCCGTTTCCTCTGCCATTCATGAACACCCCGCCTAGCCGACAGGTTATAAGCTCCCTCGATAGGTGTCGCCTCGTTCATCGAACCCTTCTTACCGCTTCGTCCGACCACTGCACTCTTCCTGAGAGGTTTACACCGTTTCTCGTCGGTCGTAGCCCCTCTTACCGTCACGGCCGACGCTGACCGACTGAGCCACCGTCAATCCTCGACGTGGGGCCGCCCGCATCACCATTTATCGTCGGCGCCGACGACCACGCTACTCCGAGTCGTCGAACCGTCGTGGTCGTCGTCGGCGTCGTTGTTGCTGTGGCGAGAGAGAGAGAGAGAGAGAGAGAGAGAGAGAGAGAGAGAGAGAGAGAGAGAGAGAGAGAGAGAGAGGGAGGGAGAGAGAGAGAGAGAGAGAGAGAGAGAGAGGGAGAGACACTGCCGTGTATTGTCCGAGATATCAGGGTCTTCCCCGCGCCCTGATTGGAAATTAAGATGCTGTGCGTACACCCGGTAGCCTGAATTCGTGCGCCAGCTAACGACGGAATTCGAAGCCCTGCCGGCAGTGTGAAGAAGCTCAGTCTAGTTTCCTGCGAATTTTCCTGGAAACCTGTGATTTGATTCAGTTGATATGCTCAGTAATGGCTCGCCATAAGACTTTATAGTTACGGAGTTAAATTCATTGCTGGCCGGTGGCCAAGTCATTTCAGTGATGTGAAACGTCGGTTCAAGAGAACTGTAGTGAAAAGATACGGGGAAGATTGCGAAAAAAATGTCACATATAATAAAAATATGTTTTATAGATTCTGACATTCTTTGAGCATGTGATCTTAAGTCTTAACCGTAACAAAGAAGCATGCAAACCGAATGACGAAGGAGTTTTATGCAAGGTAAAGTAAAAACTATTTCGTTTTCCAATAATGAAATTGGGCCTAAACATGGGATTTTTCATGTAATCAGTCATCACGAGCCGTCTTCCTGTTCGTCTTGCCAGACCTTATCTCACTGAAGGCTTGCAAACGCATCGCGGTTGTATAGAATCCTGGAATAGAAGGCAGCCCAAGTGCTTGTCTTATCCACCGTATAAGGTATTCAGAGGTCACTGGATAAGGGGCTATATCGTATACAGGTCACTGGTCACATTTATTCCTGTGACACTTCAGGGCACGGATCTGAAAGGTCACAGACGTCGGTGTTGGTATTACTGAGACTCGTGTAGCTCATAGCTGCACCGTCTGGGCTCTATTTTAAGGCTATCTAAAATCACGCAACATTCCATTGTATCGCTCGTCATGAAATACGTGGGATAAAAGCTGAGGGATTCACACTAGCTTGATTTTAGCTTCGGGTGCAAACCCTCAGCATGGATCAAAGTCAAAAACATCAAAGGACTGACATACACCTCAACCAATGTCTGCCAGACCATTTGCTGATCAGTGTGTGAACACATGTGTGAAGTATATGAAACCATAATATGTCCCCCTAACCATGAACCAGACCATGTAAATTAATCATACGCATCAGCATTCAGCATCAAGCGTTTATTTCGCAGGGTTAAAGGGACCCTCCCACCTTCAAAAAAGTTAATGAATTGGCATGAAAGTGATGTTGCTCGGTTCAGAAAGAGCAAAAACGAACATCTACCAAATTTCATCGTTAAAAATATTCACCGGTTTTCAAGATATTAGACTTTTACTTTTGTTTACTTTTTAGGATCTCCGCTGTTCCTAGCGACTTTATTTGAAAGTGCGGCATTTGTTGCGCGCAAAGCAGCATATACCACCGCGTGCTACAAAACGTTTTAGTCAAACATTTAACGGACGTTCGAAAGCCTGATGACGTCATCAGATTCCCGTAATGGTTAAGAGATAGGGACCACGCTGGTCCCACCCTGCAAGTAAAGGGAAGAAATTTCTTGAACACCATACAGCTGCGGGGGTTGCGACCAGGATAAATGGTGGTTTCTGAGCCTGGCCGCAAACTTGGCTATCTCAACTCAAAACTAATGTTAAGGTGGGAGGGTCCCTTTAATGTCAGGATGTAACATGGAACATCCAGCTAACATGTATAAGTATGTAGTACTATGACATCTTCAGTGTTAAACATCCGCAACCCCCGGTCTGCATATAATTTCCATGCAGCACGGAGTTATATTCGTCAGCAACTCTTTTCATGATGATATACCGTTTTCTTCTCCAGTCAGTTTTATTGTTAATGTTCTGAGCCTGATCGGATGTTTTTTCCAGCTCACGATACGCATTTTGTGACTGAACATATTAACATGTGCGAAGCTCTATAATCCGTAATCTTTCACTGTTGTGACTAAATGTTTAAAAGTTAGGTATCTGATGCATGAAGGCACGTTTACAATTATAACGATAGCTAACGGTCACCACCTAAGGGCACGCATTAGTACGATTTACCAGCCAAGGATTGTTGCATGTTGAATGTTTATAGGCATCGCTACTGAAGTACTCAATACTCATGCATATAACGACTAATCCAACAAAAACGAATTAAACGTACATACATATTTCACAGCATCACAGCGAAGTGTCCCTGCGTCAGACACGTTTCCATGGAGACAACATTCCACCATGGCTCTGTGCTACTGCTATTTCCAGCTGCTGATACTGCTATCAGGGCTTCCTCGGCGCAGTCTGTTGTCTTGCTGATGGTGCTCCTCGCGTCAGCAGAAATTTGATTACATCAGGTACCACGCCACTGGGGAGAGGAAAACCATCAGCTGTACGCGTTTATTGGCCCCCTGAAATGCACTTACAGCGCAGAATTACTGGGCGATCTGTCAAAAGGACCGCAGCAGGCATATCTCTTGGCGAATGCATATTCCATCGCTATACCTTAGTACTCCTAAGTACATAAGTAGTTATTAATGAGATGATATTGTTTTGGATAGAATGCATTTATATATGCGTTAAAAAATAGCAGTTTTCTACTGGAATGCAAGTTTCTTTGGGCCTATTTTTAATGCTATTGTTGACCGTGTATTTTTCTTTTGTGAAAAGGCAACAACAGGTAACAGGTAGCATTCCCAAAAATAGGCGCAGCCATACACTTCAAACATATTATCATGACGAATAACTAAGCATGTTGATTGTTGATGACGCTATACAACAGATACGATTTTGTTGTTATTTTCACTCACCCGTTGACAACCTCCTTGAACACGGTCCCCAGCTTCTGCTCTATATTCGGCCATATCGTGTCCAGCGCTACATGCTTGAAGTGGAGACGCACCAGCTCGTTTAGAGCATCAACTGCAAATTTGAATAATTGACGGCATTAGCATTTTATGTTGCAATATCACTGGGGTCATAGTTTTTAAGCATGGCTGGCTGTGCTACCAAAATATTTATTGGCATAAGATGTGCATAAATAACAAAGTGTTTTGCCTTGAACATACAGTTGTGAATCTGTAATCTGATTGGGTCCCAAATCGGTGTTTAGTATCGTTTTTCTTAAATAGTATGGTCTGACCGTCAGGACAGACTAGAGTGTGCACTGTGCAACAATGCGGATGGATTATTTCTGAATATAGAATTCGATTTTGGATCTTTATGTTCTCAAATTGACTCACAGTGTGCAAGTGTCGGTATTTTATGTATAGTGACGTCAATCTTTGCAGTGTCGACGTCGAATTTGATGCGGAAGTTTTTGTCCTCTGTGTAGAACCGCACCAGGCCCTGGTCCGGCTGCTGCTGGCCCCACACGTCCAGACTGTTTAGCACCTCCACGTCAGCTGAGGATCAGGCAACACAATAGGTCAGATTGTGAGGCATGTATGTACAAAGGTCTGCTACACGCATTGCAAACTTTTCGTTACCGAAGTTTTTTTGGTACATTCTATTTAGGTGGAACATGAAATGGCGAACTCCTCAGGTTTCCTCGCACCAGTAACAGGCTGTAACAGGTTTCCACTGGTTTCAGTAAATTACTCTCTGTCTCTGTAACCCAAACCGCCGTAACAAAACCCAATCCTCCCCGTAACCCAAAGCCGCCTATTCCCGCTCACTCACGCAACGCCATCGCCACTTTGGCGGCCATTTTAATGACGATGACGTCTGGTATGACGGTCAGGTGATAGGTAAGTCCGAGCTCGATCCTCCAGAGAGGCGCCACCCAGGCCGTCGTGATCGTCAGAGGTCGGTTCTGGTGCGGGTCATCCGAACTCTCTGCTCTGGGGAACGACATGGTGCAGGGGTCAGTTGAATGAAATTGCCTCAATAAGGTGTTCTGTCTGTGGATAGATAATCCCCCAATAGTTATCGGAATTAGGTTCTCTGGAGATTATCGTACCCTAGAAGGTCAGAGGTGGAAAACGAAAATATGCGTTATAGGGGCACGAAAGGTAAAAAAGTATGCAAGGAGTGATGTGTTTGAGCCTTGATCTCTTGGGCCATGAAAGGGTCAGGTTGAGGTTATGCGTGTCTTGGGATTAAGGAGAAGCCTGGGGTCAGATGAATTTAGACCCTAGGGGCCTTGGGTCTTAGAGGTGAGATGAACGTTATTTCGGCTGATCCCCAAGGAGACGCAATCTAGCAGGTCGGAAATAGCCAACGACGCTAGAGCTATGGATCGTATACCGTTCTAGGGCTGCATGCGTTTTGTGATAGAACCGAATTGTTCGTGGTTTATTTTACATATTGCTTTACTTTTATCAATTTGCACTTTTGTAACGACAGCTGCAAATGAAAAAGGCTTACTGGCTTAGACAAAAGGAAAGCGTATAAAAGCACTGTCCATTTGTCTGACAATGAAATGCCGTGAAGCATTTTGCCAGGGAACTACACATGCTTGCTAAGTATTTGGGTCTGCTGACGCAGTCGTAGATAACACTGTATAACAAACAACCATCAAGCGAGCGTGTATGAGCGTCATACACATCAGCTTTATATGGCCTTGCATCACCTGCCGCAGCCATACAGGTCTTCCGATGCAGCGCTCAAGTTAAACATTGAGTGTTTGACTTGACTTCTCTTTGTTGGCCTTCAACATTGAGCGTTGAGTGCGGAGCGCTGGGAGAACTGACGTGACTCGTATCGTGGTCCAAAGCGTAAGTCAGCGACTTTTCTGCCCGATTGGGCCGCTGCTTATAGTCACTGAATGTTGTAGCGTAGTTTTATTTTCGTTAGATCTACTAAACGGTGCGATTAAAGTCAGTTTTCTTGAGGATATGATGTGGAGTTTGTTGATGTAATAAGTGAATGATGACTTTACTCCACAAGAAATCGTTCGGGTCGGAGCTTTCGAATTGTATTTACAAAACTTCGTCGGTGAGTCGTAATCGGGTTAGGGGGGTATCGGTCGCAAAATTGACCAAAAATTATTTTCATTTTGCGACCGATACCCCCCGAGCCCGATTACGACTCGCTGACGAAGTTTTGTAAATACAATTCGAAAGCTCCGACCCGAACGATTTCTTGTGGAGTAAAGTCCTCATTCACTTATTACAAAGTCAGTTTTGGTAGCCGAGGCACGGGCGCATTGAGATCGGCGTGCAACAAGTGGTCGAAGTGGCAGCAGAAATGTTCAATTATGTAGTAGGTCTGAGCAGTCTATTGCCATATAATGATCATTACCCCCGTGGCCTCTATGATTGGCCAATGTATGTCTACAGTCGAATATTTTAAGCCGTCCCTAGTAACCTATTCCCAGAACTGGTTGCATCAGCGTTAGATCCTGAAATTCGTAGGAAACTTGCGGACGTCAACTCGTGCGTAACTTACGTGCGTAGGCCTATAGCGTAGTGAAGTAGGCGGAGGCTGGAGAATTTAGCAGTGCTCACTGAACTCATAATAAGCGTCAGCGCTAACATAAACGCATAAAATTTCCATCCGTATGAAATGGAAATGTTATGTCAGAACAAAAATGTGCGTACTGAGGCTTCAAAAAGTGCATCAAAAGAGACTTTTGATGCAAATTGTGAATGGGTCCTGTGGTGGCGTTAGGACAAAGATGCTGTTCAAAGACCCGTCCATTTTTCGGCACTTTGAACGATGTGTCAAGCCGCCTTTGGTTACACCTGTCAGATTTGTGATCAAGGTTAGATCAAAGTATATTTTAACATTCAAAGAAGCAGCATAATGCCTAAAAAGGTGGTATACTACAGCCCACCAGGGTTATCGTGCATTGATGTGCAAATGTGCACTACATTGCATTGAAACAATTGCGACGGAGTTCAGCCCTGTAATGTCACCAGGGCCCACAACAGTTCTTTTCAAAATCACTGATAAGACACGATAGAGACTTGTCATTATAAGGGCCAGGAGTCGAGTTGGAAGAGATGGCCTTTTCCTCACGGCGGACGCTTCGAGCTGCAGAAATATATGCCGTATTTTCCAATTCCTCGAAATGTGCAGTAAAACAGCAAACGCCACTGAATTAAGCAGTTGGGGCATAATGTGACGTCTGTTAATAAGCAAGGTGACTGGCGTTAATTAACTTAGTAAGTGACTAAAACTTAGAAAAAAAAATAAACAGATACGAACCAGGAAATAAAAAACAAGTTGAAACCGTACAGCTTGCTGTGTTTGCAAACTGGTTGTACAACTCTTGTTATTAGAATGATGAGGGCGTGACAAATTATTAAAACATTTATAAAACAGAACATCAAAGACATGTCACATACCTACCATTAATATTCGTTCAACTTCTCTCGCAAGATGGCAACTATTTTTTGTGCCAATTATTGCAAGGATGACAATGCTCCCCATTGACCTTACGTGTACGTTTATTACAGAAAGTCTTCTGGCTCATGCTCATACGCACGAAATACCCTAAATGTACTTTCAGTTTCCTCCGGCTTCTGGTCCGGACAGATGATGCCTGCTATAGCTGCACTTGAAAGTGTAATTATTCGAGTCAGTAATTCGAGCCCGGTGAATGTAGAGATGGGAGAGATAATGCAAAGCATTATGTTACAACTTCCTTTTAACCCGCGCCCTGATGGGGGGGCCATTTTCGCCCCCCCCCCTGTGGTTTTTCTTAAATAGCGAAAAAACGGCGGCGCGTAGCGCCGCCAAATTTTGGGTACCTTACCAGGCATCAATTTGACACCTTCACACAAAATTTCAAGTCACAGGTCACCTCAAGTCAGGAGTTATTAAGGTCAAACTGAGGTCATGTTCGAGTAAAAATGAGCAAAAAAACATGACATCTTGAAACGCTCACCAATTCTACAGTTAACAAGCAATTTTAAAGTTCTTTATGTGGTTGTGTAGAGAAAAACGGCGCTACAAAACTGCTATCTCGGATTCTCGAAATTTTGGAATTTTGACCCCCAAAAATAAAAAATTGATTTTTTTAGAAAAACTCAAAAAAATTCCAAATTTTTTCCGAATTTCGAAAAAATGGAATATATATGATAGTCCCTGCATTCTTCGATATACATACCCAATTTTAGATCGATACCTCTTTTTTGGCCAAGTTATGGCGAAAAAACTGTTAAAAATTGATGACGTCAAATTTTTGAACTCAATTTTTAGCAATTCTAGACCTCGTAGCGCAAAACGGAGACCACCATTGCACTCCCCGTGACGAGTGGCATCTAATCGATACCCATTTTATGCAAAAATATCAACTTTGAAATTTGACCTAATTTGACCTGACCTTGACCTGACCTTGACCTGACCTTGACCTGACCTTGACCAAAACGTGACCTAAGCTGGCCCTAAAGTCTGTCTGACCCACATAATCGCATTTGTCATGTAAAATGGACCATAAAACATGTATCACACGACACTTTCATATTGTGACCCCCCAGTGACCTTACCTCTGTGAACTGACCTGGTATCAGTGACCTCAAATAGCAAAATATGTGTTTAAAGAACATTTCCCCATCGATGATTTTCAATGAAATGCATTTTACTCGATTTTACAACGCATTTCTTGAAATGCCTGTAAACGGTGAAAATTCAACCTTTGACCTGACCTGTGACGTCATCGGTTTGACCGAGGTCAATGAAATTGGGTCACAAGGTAGTTCCCCGTTGGGGCTATCCAACACCGTTTACCGCTTGTCGCTATGTTGCGTGGTTCTCGAGATCTGAGGGGGGGGGCCAAAATGGCTCCCCCATCAGACCGCGTTGCTCGGCAGACCCCATCTGGGCGCGGGTTAATCTTTTTCGTGTCATGCTCGCACGAAAAAAAAAAAATCAAAAACGAAAACTCAAAACAGCAACGAACAATGCTGTTTGATACCATCTATACCTATAGGAATACACAATAGCCAATTACATGCATAATGCATATCGCATCCTCAAACATGATCAAATTTTGACATACTCGTAGGTACATTGCTGAAGACATTGCTGTGTTTGTACGACGGACAGAGTGCATGTGCGGCGAGAATCACTTACTTTGATATTTTCACTGTGTAGTTTGAAATTCCAGCGATGCTTACATTCCCATCGACCTCCCAGGCGACGGCCCGGGAGCCTCCATTTAGAGTGGTGTTGAACTGCAGCGGGTCCACTGGAACGACACAGCGGAAACAATGTGAAACGAAATGGAATGGTGAATGGAGGTTGATGTAGGCTATCCGAAAGTGATAAGGGAAATGATATATTTATGTATTTTGTTGATTGTTGGCCTGTTGCTAAAACGCAACATGAGGTAATTTAGATGATACGTGAAATTGCTCACAGTTTCTGAAAAAGTGCGAATTCGATAGTCCGCCTTACTTGAATCTATCCTCAAGCTAAACGATTTTTGAATGGCAGTAGCTGAAGTTCGTTACGCAAAATGATTGCTAAGCCTTGGATGTGTTTTTTTTTTTCTGCGCTTCGTATCGTCACATGAAGTACACACAGAATATGTTTTAATCGTTAATGCATTGTCTACTTACTGTTCTCAAATTTCAGCCGCGCGTTTTTGAATCCCTGCTCAAAACAGGCATCCATGTTGATATTTGTCACTGGGCATGCATTCTCAAGGCCTTTAGCTGAAAAGGACGGGTTGTAATGTTGTATGACAATCCTTCAGGCAAATAAAAATGTTTCACGCAATCAGCAGAAATTAACATTTCATGTGACTGGTGTTACAAAAAGCAAATATAGACTCTTCAATTTGCTTTTTTTTATAAAGAATACCTATTATCCAACCCCACCCACGGCACATATCATTGAAACAAACAATAATGTTCTCAAATGGACCTATGTACATATACTGAGCATTATACAGTATGCAGGTATAAGGAGGTCTCTCGATGTGCAGAGGTCTGTGCACAATGGAAGCTGTCCAAACGTTGTGCATGAATCAAGTTCTCAACTGAAGGCTTCTTAACCCTATTCCTGGCGGGGGGGGCCTCAGGAGCCCCCCCCCCCCTGAGGTTTTTTGGTTATATCTCCCAAACGCTTTGAGCTAGGAAGCTCAAATTTTCTGACTTTTTCTAAAAGGCTTTTACGCAACATTTCTGCAACAAAATTTTGAGTTGATCGGACCTCAGGTCAGGTCACCAGAGGCGGTTTGGTGACCCTACCTCAGAAAAGTTTGCAATCACGCCAGAGCTAGAGTTTTTGACCGATCAATTTCTTCTCTTCAGGCTTTAGTTAGGGTACCAATATGTGCAATTTGTATATCTCAGAATTTTCATATCTGTGACCTGAGGTCAGGCCAGACTCGTGACCTTTACAATGCAAGCCTATGGGAAAATATTGAAACGCCTCCTGCTTCGTGTAAACGAGTCAAAACCACCCTGTTCTTTCAGTATTATGGAAGATTATCTCATCGGTGATGATCCTGGTGCCGCTAATTGACAGGGGCACCGGCAAAGGTCATCTGAGGTCATGTGACGTCATAAATCGTTTTTCTGTCAATAAATCACGACATGATGGTGCTAAAGACTTGTAATTGGTACCAAACTGCTCGCCTGGTCAAGGCGCGTCGTTTGGTATGCAGCATGACCATACCCCACAACCTCATTGATGAATGACCTGACCTTGACCTCAGGTCAAATTTTAAATTGACCTGTGAAGGTCATCACATACTTATTTCGCATCGCCTCGGCGAGAGCAACAAAAAATGTATTGGTTTTATGTCTCTATGTTTCTTAGTTTAAAAGTTATATAGGTAACTAATTCCAAAACATTTTATCGTTGATGACCTCTGGTGACCTCAATATTGACCTGACCTGAAAATGTTTATGTAAAAGTTGTAGATCTTTAAACGACCTATCAAACGCCGTTCGCCGTTTGTCGCTGCGATGTGTAGTTTTTTAGATCTGAAGGGGGGGCCGAATCGGCCCCCCCCCCGCCAGTTTCTTGTCCCGGCGGAGCCCGCCAGGAATAGGGTTAAGTTATAATCCAATGCATTCAGAGGTGCTCCATTGCGAATGGTCAGGTCTACAAGGCCTTTACCACATGCATTGGATCGGTCCATTTCGTTTTCATGGCAAATTACATTACCGAATAAGCCTAATATTGCGATAGCGAATTTAGCGATTGTCGGTTTTCTACGCATAATAGTGAATTGAAACGGTATTATTTTTACAAAACCAAAGTAAAATCAGACGTAAACCTGAGTTACAATAGACAGTAATTTGGCAGGCAGAAATGGTTGCAATTGGAAAATATCCTCTCCAATCGCTGGAAATAATATTGTTTGAAACACTGCTGTGCCTGTGAGAGAAACGTCAGTCACTGTTAGTTAATTATATCAATCTGAGCAAAATGCACGCATGATGTGGATTAAATTTCTGAAAGATCGGCTTTCGCTGTAAGCCCGAGCTAACCAATGCTTTTACCGAAGCCCGGTGGCCGGTATATAGCACTATAGGGGCATTCCACGTCAAGTGGGACAAAAAATGATCATTTTGAACCTCACCTCCTCCGATTTTTGCGAAACTTTGTGAAACTGCTCATCTATATGTGAAAAGAAAGGAGACATATTTTTATGAAGATATGACGTCACGTTTCCGAGATACACGTCATCAAACATTGACTTAGGCAAGGCACATTATCATCTTTAAAGCGTCATAACCATAGAAGTTTTAGACATATCACCACGAGACAAAGTGTGAAATGGAGGGAATAGGTCAGGCTTTAATTTGAGGATAACAATATTGACGTAATTAACTAATTAGTGAACTTAATTAAAGTTCAAAAAATAAATTTTGATTTTCTGAAAAATGGGTACCCTTCGATTTTGCTCATTTTTACATATTTTATTATCCTATACATTAGCTACATCATATAAAAAAATCCAGAATGGGCCGACGACTACGTAACTGTCTTTTGGACTTCGTAATGTCTGGCACTCGCGTGTTTCGTTTTAGCAACCAAGGAGAGGCGCTACCCGGAGATGCTTCTTTCTACCCCAAACCAAAGCAAACCTAACCTGACCTGACGTGACCTGACCTAATCTAACAAGCGTAAATATGTACAGCCCTCACGGCAGTTGCCGACTGGCCAAATGCTACCTAGATACGAACATTAGCCCTCACGACAGTTGCCGGCTGGCCAGATGCTACATGAAAAAACAAATGCGTATTTAACACTTCAGGCTGACCCGCTGCGAGCCAGCGACCTTTAGATTTCGAGGTGGATACACTCGGCACACTTACTACTAAGCCACGAAGATAGCTGGTCATCGTAAGCCAGTTTTTTAATGATGAACTAGGACATTCTCCGGGCAGCGCCTCTCTTTGGTTGCAAAAAGAAAATACGCCTGACTCTCCCAGCGCTAGAGGAGAAAAGCCCGGTTTAGCCAAAAAAGGTATAAAAACGGAATTTGAAATGTAGTTGGGGCGGTGGGGAACTTTATTGTGTGCCAATTTCATGGCCCTAGATCAATATATTCAAGATCAAATGAGGTTAAACGTGATCAAATTTGCTATAGTGACTATTTTGCGTTTATACGCCCATAGCTCTAAGAGAGACTGGCCGATTTTCCTATTTCTTCCTTTATACGACATTTGTAGTGTTATGAGAATCCCTAGTTAATCTTACCATAAATTTGGCAGTTAGTGGCTTGCTAAGAGTAAGATGTCGCCTGCATAGGCGGGGATCGGCCGACGCGGGAAACGTCCTAGTCACATATTGTGTTTGCACCCTAAAAATTTAATTTTACCAGTTGATTTTCGTATTTATTTGAACATTAGATTGCCTGTAAATATTTAAGCCTTCACACAAAATTTGACACGAATCGATCATAATCAGCGGTAAGAAGCGCGGTGCAAAGATTGACCCGTCCCGCGCCGGCACAGTCTACCATTCAGGCGGCAACGGCCGGCGCCGGCCGCCGAGCCGCTCCGGCAGGAATGTTTGACTTTACATCGCTATTACTAGAAAAATTGTGGACCGATTTACCTATTTCTTGCACGGGAGAATTTGCAATTCGATTCTGGACGGATACTTAAAGTTTGACGTTAATATGATAATTATGGCGTGAGTTATTGGCGATAAACAGGTGGAGTTAGCGAAATCGGCCCCTTCCACCGCCCGTGCTACGTTGCACTACTTGTTGCTATATCATCCAAAGTTATCGTTGGCCCACTCTAATTTTCTCAGCACGTGTGCCTTACGTCTAGTGGAAGACAATATCTAAATTTGAGCAAAATCGAAGGGTACCCATTTTTCACAAATTACATTTTAAGAAATTAATTCAAAATAAAATAAATTCAAAATCACCAAAAAATGTAAATATTGTCAAATTTTACTAGCATAACTCCTTATGTACACGTTTCAGTTTGTTTGACATTAATAGCTTCAAAGATGTTGAAGCTATAGATCTTTCAAGATTGCAATACACGTCCAATTCTGCTCAAAAAGCAGAAGTTTAGCGGCTTGTATCTCTGTAGCCCGAGGGCATATGACAAAATCCTTTCACCATCAGAGGTTTCACCCAATAGCCAATAAGTATACCAAGTTTGAACAAAATCGCAGAGGTGGCCGATTTTGGCTGTCCCGGTTGACATGGAATGCCCCTATAACTGGAACGTACCAAAAAAGTCAACGTGCTACTAAGCTGCTAGAAGTCTGATGACAAACAATGACTGCAAATGATTAGCAGTGCTATGTCACTGCGATTAGTGGTTGTATTCTATCTAAGAGACACCTCAACATACACACTCTATAATCCATTCACACTTGTCTCTTTGTAGTTTAACCCTATTAGTGGCAGGCTCCTGGCTACCCCCTATTAGTGGCAGGGGGGCTGTTTACGACCCCCCCCCCTTGATATCTCGAGATCTAACGGGCCGATTTTCAAAATTCAAACGGCGTTCGATTTCGCTCAACGTGATCTACATTTCTAAAAAAATAAAAATTTAAAAATGTCAATAGGGGGGGTAGAGGGGGGTAAAAACGGGCAAATTGCAGATACATTTTAGACTGTTTATCACGGCCAGGTTTCTGAACCAATCTTAACGCAACTTTTGCCGATCGATAGAGAATGAACCAGGAATTCACATGGATCCCAAAAATATGCATTTTCAAAAATCATAGGCGGATACAGATCATTGAGATTGGGGGTACACAAAAAGTATAGTAAATAAGGTTTTTGTTGGTACTGTTTCTAAAAATGGTGGTAATGGTCTTGTTATGTTACAATTTTCTTATGAGGGAATGACTACAATTGTATTGGTCATGCATAGGCGGTGTCAGGGCACCTATGTTGGGAGGTAAAACATAACCCCCCTTTTTGGACGCCTGGATCCGCCTATTATAGCAAAAACGTGTCAAAAGAGGATGCACAATAACTGTATATGTTATCACATGATACCTTTCATTCACTGTCCGTAAAACTAGTGCAGCATCGTGATCTTCGCCCAAATGACTCGCTTCACGAATAGGACCCCCCAATTCCCAGTGCTCTGGAGCCGCCCCTGGTAAAGTTATGAACTTGAAATTTTCAGGGAATGTGCCCAATTTAGTTTTAGGAAAAGTCAGAAAATTTCAGCATCGTAGCTTCAGCGGTTTCGGAGATATTCCCGAAAAACCTGAGGGGTGGATAAAAACAACCCCCCCTGCCACTAATAGGGTTAATATGACTTGTTTGCTCTTCTTTCATGTTTTTCAGTGAAAAGGTAGCATTTAAATTTCAAAGAGAATGATACGGCACTTTTATCTAGCCTACAAACAGACCATGTGAACAACGATGGCGCTGCCGGCAAAGAGTTTTAAGCTCCTCATTGGATCAGCCGTTTTCTGTCCATCCGTCAAGATTTTCATTGATCTATAGTTTTTTTTTAATAATTGATGTAGGCATTGGAGTCCCACCTGTTTGAGAAAAGAAAGTTCGGTACCTTATACCGTTCGTTCTCATATGACAGGTTCAATGACAATAGATTGAAGCAATAATATGAAATTCCTTGCATTGAGTCCTGAAATATCTTTGATAAGTGATCACGGCAGTACCTCTTCCTCAGATTGTCCGAGTATATCGGTGGAATTACCAACCCCACATCTTATTAAGGTCCTCTTATGCTCAACATGATATGCATAAAGCAAGGAGATGAATAACACCCTGAATATAGGCATAATGGATTTCGTTATCGATGAAACGGATATGTAAAAATATTTTAGTCATTCGCTACGCTATGTAATGTTGTAACTCACTTGTATGTTTATATGCTTACTGAATTCACTGGTGTATAGTTCTGTGATACCCTGGCTCCTCTTGGAATCCGTATCTTCACTCCGCCGGCGGCCGGCGGTTATGAACCTCCCAGGTGCGTCAGAGGACCCACGAGGCTCCTCTCTTAGAGAAGCTGATTTCCGCGCAGATCCCTCCTGTCTGTCATCTCTCTCGGTCACAGTAATCATAGCAATATACCGGCCGGGAGGTAAGCGTCCGGCGGTCAGACCGTCCAGACGCATCACCTGTCGGCGGCCATCTTGGGTGGACTGTCGGCGGCCATCTTGAAGCCCACTTTCGACACCCATTGTGACTGTGCCAGTGACGTTGTACTCAGGATGACCTGAGCACAGCTGGCGCCATTTTATCAGCACCTCGACAGGGAATTTCGACCCCTGACTGTCCAGAAATAGCTCTTCACTGCAAAGACTGCAAACAAAAGTGAAAGATGCGTAAGATTGTCTTCCCCGTAAAGGCCACACTTACAACATCAATTTTTTCATCAGATTGTGCTTGGTGTCAATATAATTTACAGATCATATAAAATGAGGAAGGAGTGCGTGGTCGTTTTAGAGCTTTAGTTACACCAAGTAAAGATATGTGTCCTGGATGTATTTCTATCGCTCGCAAGAAATTAATATGTTGGCCCCTAGGCTATATGTACAGGGTGTCCGGAAAGTTCTGGCGCCTCTTTTGGACGTCGTCTAACGCGCGCTGTGATTATTGGACTTTCAACCAATCACCGCAGATATGACCCCTCGTTCACCGCTCAGCTAGGGGTCGCGTAAATATGACCTTGAAACCGTTTTCAGTGCTAGGTATATGGGCGAAGATGCGCCTTGTCGCTGAGAGCCCGCGCGCGGGGGCCCGGTGCGGCTTGAACGAGGCGCGAGTTGCAACGCGATGCGGCGTTTCCCGGCGAACGGTTGAGCAGGCAAAGGTGCACTCCAGATCGGAAATGTCTTAGAAAATATTCTCACTCAGCTACAACCACGGTATGCCAAAGCTGCTGAGACTGAACCAGCATTTCAGCGGCAATCGAAGAAAATCTTGGGTCTGATGGACACAAATGTCCCATCATCTTCGTCAAGGTCAAATAAATGACTGATAGGCTGGTCCACGAGGGGTTCCTGGACACGACAATCAAGGCGACTTGCCCTAAGGGTCATGTCGCACTTCAACAGCACGGAGCGCCCCCCAACAACGCCGCTGCCGTCCAAACCAAACTGACAGAGGAGCTCGGCGGACCAGATCACCGTGGTGAAATGAGATTAGGCCACCTTATTATCCCAGCCTTAACCCGCTCGACTAAGGCATGCTACGCGTTTTGCAGAATAAGCTCTAGGCCACCTCTCATCCCAGCCTGGAGTCCCTGAACACTCGCATCATGACAGCATGGGAGGACAGGAAATGTCCTGCACCGTCAAAACCCGCAGGCGTTTCCGCCCTTGCGTCGAGGCCGTCGTCGGCACAGACGGTGGTTACAATGAATGGGCACTTAGCAGAAGGATGTGGCTTGGTGTTCCTGGTCATTGTTTCGTTCTATTGTTGAGTATCTATGGACCAAAGGCATTTATCTTAACAATGTTGAAAAGCGCCAGGACTTTCCGGACACCCTGTAGATAGAGCCGCTGCTGAATATGCGTAGCAGCTCTTTCCCTCCTCTTACCTGTTGTATGTCTCATTTTTGCTAAGACATATTCGTATTTTTTTCTTGTCGTTGTTTTTTATGTAGTCCATGAATTGGTCTGTGCGGCACCGATGTATGACGGGAGAAGAAACTACCAATGATGCCGCCACCATCTCCAGAATCAGCCATCTGGAAAATGGAATAAGACTGTCAGTGACAGTACGAACAAAAAGTTTTGCTGCTGACATGTTGCAGATGAATTCCCGGTGCACCTGTAGATGCCAATTTTAGCTGAGGTCTGCCGATGTCTCAAGATTCGCCATAGCAGCTGATATTTCTGTTCCACCTCTGTTCAACATTTCCACCGGCTGGTGATTTATAATAAACGAATTGATTTGTTTCTTTTTGTAATGCCTCTATAATTCATTTGAGAACGTGCCATCAGCGACCACCGTGCTGTTACAGTACAAAATAATGTTTTTTTTATTACTTGAGAGGACTGATCATGATTCCCAGGAAAGGCCAAATAATTATCGGCTCCGATAATTATCGGAGCTAAATTGCTTTTTCCTTGTAATTTATCGTAAAACTTATATGTTTTTGCACATTCTAACTGATGCATTATAAATATATCTAAAAAGCACTATCAAGTGCAAAATGACGCTGATTTGGCATGCAAAAGCAATATTTTGATAGACCTGTGACTGATAAAACTGGTATTGCCGGTGCGCATTGGTGCTCAATGCAGCATCAACTTTTACCTTCGAGACTTCTTCAAAGCATGCTTGTTGCCAAGTTCACTTTTCGTTATGCTTCATTTTCGTTCATTTTGTTCCTCATGTATTCCGCTATAATGTTTGCCTTAATAAACTTTTCCAGAACTGGCAACATTTCACCGCAGATATGAAAATTATACGTTGAAATTAATTGGTTGAGATCATTTGCATTACCACTTCTGCTGCTCTTTAGTCCCTAACCTTGCATCACTTGAGCTAAACAAATATTGACATAATCTACTTCTTCTCGGAAAGGTATCTACAAAAGTGTGAGCGGCTGTATGACAAAACCACTATTCACTTACCGTAAAATGGCTGACTTCTTCATTGCGCCTGGGTTCGGCGTTGTTGATCAGGAACCGTCACTGAGTTACGAGCGTAAGGTCACTGAGTTACTGAGTGTACTTTCACTGAGTTACTGAGTGTGATGTGAACGTCACTGATCTGTACTGCTTTCACCGTATATATGTGTCGGGGTGTAACTAAAGCTTTCTTAGATCAATTGTCTCTCAATGAGTTGGCACTCTTGCGTTTCTGAGACGCCCTTTTCTTGCTTTAGCTCTCTTGTGCAACCGGAAGCACTGTTGAAGTCATCCTCGCACAAATTCCAAACAATGGAAGGAATTTAAGATGGTCGAGTTGATCAACCCTCCCTGTTGATCGTCACAAATATGTCCGTTGCTGTTGTTTGAAGTCAATGTCCTCCAAATTTCGACAACTAAATCACTTGTTTGAAGGGAAAGACACTGAAACGTGGCTGTGTATCAAGACGTCATATGAATATACAAGCCCCAAATCGTCAGCAGTTCAAATTTCTGCCTCAATTGTGCTCAGTGCTTCACTTCAGTCACAGCCACTTCACTTCGCACGAGTCACTTTGCAGCGAACTTTGCGAAATACACGCCACTCGCGATGTTCACTTTCTGTTCTCTACAGAGATCCTCACACCACAAATCCAACCTCTAAAACATGTCGAGCTGGCGCGCTGCCGCTAGGACAGACCAATGTCAGACCGTCAATGGCAGGCATGACAGTGACCTCTGGCCTTCCGTCCGCCCCCCCCCCCCCCCCCCCCAGCGGAGTCACGTCACACCGTGCCGGGAGACGTGACGTGACGTGACGTACGTGACGGATGTGACGTGATGGACGTGACGGTTCTATGGTTGACCCTGATTGTGCTGTCTACGCGACGTGTCTGTCTCCTAATGTAGGTATGAACTTGTGATTTCCGTTGCAGGTATTTGAAAAACAGATACCAAACCTGACTTCAACGAAAAGTATGGAGTAAAAAGAGAGCATGGTACAATATCCAAACTGAGCCGAGTTGTAGAATTTATGGTAAGGATTCGTAATTCATTATTCTCCACTTCATTACTCATAAGTGCGGTTTCAAAAACAAGCAATATAAATGTCAAAAATATATTCATCAAAATACCAAGTCAAGCTGGCATTTGTTTGAATTTAGCATACCAGCATTTTGGTACCGGATTGACATTTATAGTAGATATGAAGCAATGTACCTGGTATCTAGGCCTGGGCTTAGACTGACCATGACCCCGGCTCTGCTACCAGAATTAATCAATTACTGGAGAGCACCAATTATTGCTCGCTCATTAGAGACATGGAGAATGGATATATAATATATCACTCCCCTCGCCAGCTGTCTAACGATATGCCCATGAATATAGAAAGCACTCTCGATCGCACAAATGAGTATTTGACGAAGTATTTGGCCTGTTATGACGATCTGTTATTTTGGCATTTTAGGACGGCTTAGCTCCGTGCACTATAAGTAGTGCAGTGCCATCTGTTGGCACCGTTTAACCTCAAATCTTTTTCGGTCTAGGGGTCGCATCAGTCGGCTAGGACGCCCAAAAACCGGGATTATCGCTTGATCATGTGGAGTATCGAGCAATTATCACATTCAACTTTCCATATTGTTTGATCAGTCAATGTTATGCCGAGCGGCGAGCACATGGGTGCGTCACGATTTAAATGGCGTAACTAAAAACTGTTTCACCTTTCTATTTCCCTCTACGTGGGCTGCAGATTAACCCATGCATAAGAGTAACATGTTGTAGATGATGTTGCCAATATTGACGTTAAACATGGCCGCTCCGGCTCTTGTCGTTTTGAAAGGTCACTCGTTTTGAGTTAAGTTTTGCAACAATAAAATCGGGCTGTTCTGGAAAAGTATCGGGTGTTTATTGGTCGCTGTCAGCATAAGCATAATTACGGAGCGAGCGAAGCGAGCGTAGTCTTTCCTTAGATTAACGGAAATTTCTGAGTATGAGCGGCCGGCCGGCCGGCCGGCCGGCCGTGGTCACGCTTTTGCGAGGCTTATATCTCAGCAACCACTTGACCGATTTACACGCGGCAATTTTTGTAGGGTAGCTTCATTCCTTCCACCAAGTATTGGACTATTCCCGATGCATGTGGGTGACCCCTTATGCACGTGCCACGTGCAAAACGAAGAGGTGTCCGTTTTGTAATTGTTGCAATATCTCGGTAACTACTTGGCCGATTGCGCTGAAAGTTGGCATGTAAGTAGGCACCCACTAGGCACTGCATATCCATGTGCCAGAGTTGGGGCGTTGCTGCACGTGCGCACGTGCAGGGGTCGTTTCCAGATCTCGAGAACGGCTCCACCGATTGCGCTCAAATTTGGTACACAGTTAGGGACCGGTTAGTAGGGTGCCGTGCGCAAGCCAGTTGGGACCCATTTTGCACGTGCGCACGTGCAGGGTGCCGCTTCCAGATCTCGAGAACGGCTGGGCCGATTGTGCCCAAATTTGGTACATCGCTAGAGACCGGTTAGTAGGGTGCCGTGCACAAGTCAGTTGGAGGTACCCCCTCGCAATTTCGCACGTGCAAGGCCCACCCTCTCGCTCGCTCCGTTAGTCGCCCCAAAAGGCGTTATACTGGTCTTTTATGGGCGTTGGTAAGGTAAGCGATGGGTGTTCCGGAGATAAATTATTCTAAAATAAATGTTTCTGATAAAACACATTTGTTGCTAAATAAAGCACATAGCTGAACAAAGCTAGCGTAAAATATCAAATATAATTAAATATTTCAAAGAACAAAATAAATAGTAGTGGGCACTGGGCAGCAACGATTTCATTGAAATATTCAGCGATTTCCCCACATGTCCCCAGCGACACCATCAGCTCCGCCCACTGCTGCTGATTGCTGGGGCCTGGCGGCGTTGGATCATACCAGGTACTCAATTCTGTTGCAACCTAGGAGCACCTCTTCTGGAATGTCAACGGTGCTAAGACTGCGTGTTGCTGGGATTTCAGACGTATGAGCTGTATGTAGATGACAGTTGACGCCCACGGCTATGCTAGTGCGGAATTATTGCGCTGACACCACGAGCTGCTAGCTTGCATTGGCACGAAATGTGTAGCAATGCTGGCAGTACCTTTGTACTGGTGCATCTCATGAGTCAGAAAACAAATGAGATTGAAGCTGAAAGTCTGATGAAAATATGAATGTACTCTGCAGTTAGAGGTGTTATTTAACCCTCGCCGGACCTATTGGTTTTCTACATACGCGCCGGCCGAGGGGGGGGGGGGGTGGCGGGTACGATCCCCCTCGCCGTTTGGCCCCTGGTGGAGCTAGCGCGTCGCGGAAAAAACGAGCGTGTGCGCCGTTACGAGACGCAGAGATTGGTACCCGATTTTAAGGTCCTAGGTCAACCGGTGACCTCTGAGGTCAGGTCAAGTGCCCCAGGTACGGTTCAGTTTTTGGTCCATAACTTCGCAAAAAACGGCCACAGAGCCGCGATTTTGGCAGCATCGTGTACGCCTCGCTCAGGCGCGTCGAATGATATACTTTTTGTCCGGGTCAGGTCAACTTGGGGTGTTGACCTCAGGTCAAGGTCAGGTCAGCGAAGCTGGTCGAAAGAGGTCATGTCGCATATCATTCGATTCGGCAGGTCTTCTTGAGTCCATTGGTGGCTTTCCCGACTCGCTAGCTCAATTTGGTCAAGAGTTATTGACGAAAAACTAATATGACCTTGATGACGTCATAGATGACGTCACGCAAGGTCAACATTGCAAAAGTGACGCATCTAACCTTGCAAGGAGTGCATCAAAACACGATTCTGTGTGCTTGAGATAGTTGGAGATCGTTCCCGGCGCCAGAATAGCAGTTTTCATTTTTCCCCATTGACTTATAATGGTGAGGTCACGAAAATAACCTGACCTCATATGACCTTTAGGAAAAATCCGAGATATACAAGTTGTGAGACTCATAATGGATACTAGATCCTGCAAGTTTCATTTCCCTGTGACATCTCCTCTGGCAGTGAGGGTGTTGCGAAGTTGCGACATCTGAAGACCGTGCAGAGGTTCACTTATGACGTCATAGGTCAGTGACCTGACCTGACCCAAAAATGCAGTTGGTGTCAAAAGATCCGGCTTGAATCAAAGGTCAGGTATGCCAAGTTTCAGCTTTCTATCGCCAGCGGGTTCGGAGCTATCGCGAAAAAACTAGGGGGGGGGCGGCACCCCCCCCCCCCCCCGGCCGGCGAGGGTTAAAAGCATATTTTGTTGCTAAGGAAGGTAGTTTTCAATTAATGCGTTTTGATTTAAAAAGCCTGGTTGCAAATGTCCCACAAACTGTTTGCTACAGATGTTTTTTTCTAGATGCGAAGTTGGAATTATTGTAGGTATATTCATAAAAGGCTCAAAACTGAAAACGGCATAGTTTCTCATCATCCTAACCGTCGAAAGTTGAAATTATTGATAAATACATGTTATTTACCAGGGCTTAAACTACTAATGTGCACAAAGAGGCGATTTCATCCCTGCAGCTGAGAGCGTTCAGCAGTAACAGCGACAAGCTCGCTTTGACTTAATCTTCGACGAAGGCTACCTTCGATCCTTTTTTATTACACAAATCCAGTTACAAACGTCGAAACTTAATGCCTCGTAAGGCATATAACTGTCGGCGCATTGCAGCTAAATTTAGCTGAACGACGCCCCCAACGCTAACTCAATGAGCGGAGATGAGGCTGGGGTCGGAAGAGGTTACGGTCCGAGGTTGGGATGGTCTGTCGGTCGTTTCATTTTGACAACTACTGACCAATAAGCCACGTGACAGGGTCGTGACGTCACTAGTTTACCGTTACGTGGGTCGTTTATCGTTCAACCCACGGACAGATTCAAACGCTTTCTTTCACTAGTTGCATGAAAGTGAAAGTATGCCTATTGCCTACCCATGTGTTGTCAACTGATAGTCAGCCTTAGTTTTGACCGGGATTTTCTCCCATTCTTTCGCCATTGCCGAAACTTTGAACAGCTATTCCAATTTTACAACCGTCTTTGTTGTTGGCAACTGTCAGCTGCTCGCAAAAATGCATATAATATAAGTACCTAAATGTCGTTTCCAAATGTCAGCTGCAATTTCAAAGCCGGCATGGGATGTTCACTATCATTGCATTAAAACCCCAGAGCTCCTCACACCCTAATAGCATTACCATCTCAAATAATAGCATAATAGTTAGCATTACTATCCCATCTTCTTTCTCATTCCGTCGCAATCACAGGCACCGATCAGGGCGTCCTCGCGAGAAAGTCCCGGCGATTAACAGAGATTAACGGGCGATTAATGCTCATTAAGCTTTTTGCAGCAGCCGCCTTAGCACACCGCCGTACACCGGTAGCGTCCTTGACCTAGCTTTTCTTGAACTTGACCTGGTCACTTGTGACCTTGACCCGACTCACACGAGTACGGGAGGATGCACGATTGTTGAGGAGCGAATTGCTGGTTGTCGCACGATTTCGTCAGCCAGAAGACACGCACACAAGGCGTGAGAGGAAGGCTCACGAGTGAGAGTGGCGTGGCGAGGGCGAGTGTTGGTCAGGTAGCGTACCAAGAAGGTGTTGGAGTATCCTGTTCGACTATCAGCACAAGTATGGTTCATTGCGACTTTCATTTTGTCAAGTATCGAGCTGAATCTATGTATCTAGAATGATGCGATGTGAAGCATCGTGAACTTCCTCAAAACGTCTCAATCTCGAAACGTCTCA